ACGATGCCAGAATTTCAGTTCTGCGCATAGCAATATGCGTTGGTACAGAACGTGTTGAATTCTGGGTAAAACCTCGTACCGTGTGTTCCGTGTTGATACGTACTACACAATTAGTATTAGTAATACGAAGGGGGCAAGGGGATAGCTGGTACAGTGTTATGGGAAATAAAAAGGGTTTTTTACAATTTACAAGGAAAAAAAGACGTTTTTACAGTTTACAGTGAAATTGAATTTTGCAGTGAATTGTGTCATCTAGTCGTTTTACAGTTTCGAAAATTTCCCTGGATTATTCTTTACTACTAATTTGGATGTAAATTCTTGTACGTACCGAGAACAATTACACATTTTTACAGTGTACGAAAACAATATTTGATTGATTACGTTGTACGTCTAGCCTGTGATTACAGAATTACGGAATTTATTTTTTTTCAATTTACGTTGTACGAACAAAAAAATATTGCAATTACGTTGAACGAAATAAATATTTTTTATTACCCATAAAAAAAATTACAGGACTTTAATAAATACAGTAAATACAGTAATAAACAAAACAAAAAAGTAAAAAAAAGAAAAAAAACACAAAAACAACAAATAATGAAGACAGATTACCAAGTAACTCCAATTGTATTAAAAAAATTGTTGATTGTAAATTGTAAGATGCACAAACCAACATTAGGTAAAGTTTCCCCACTTCACCTGAAACAATTCGATAGTGCTATTTTTACTACATATACAATATTCCATTTCTTTTGTTTCCTTAACTTTTTTTTTCTACCAGACGAAATGAAGGCGAAGTGCCATATAATTTACAGGAATAAATAATTTGTTTAGTTATAATAATGATATGGTTCAATAAACTTGAGAACTGATCATCGCCCAGCAAAATTTGAATATCTGTGAAAGTGTCTGGGGTATTTAAAAATTCACCCCATCTATTACATATTGATGTCATAATTATGTGCATTACCTACTTTACGTGACAATACATGTGTGAGTGTATTTAATATGTATTAATTTCTATCCCTCCTTACTTATTTGTAGTGGATAATTTGTGCACTTCTGTCGCGGGGGAGTCGTCACCTGCGCATGGGTCAGATGACCATAGCGTGTCATTGTTAACAGACATGCGTCTACCCAAGAGCCTTTGCGTTTTAGCGTGTGTTGTTATCGTCGCCTGGGACTCAATTCCCGCGTGTGCGCAGGTGACGACCCTCTGGATACATCGTGTCAGTTTCTTTATATTGCTCCAATCGATTAACCATTATATTATAATTTGTGTGTATGCAGACATACACATTCTCAACAATAAGATGGATTGTGGAATTGTCATAACTGTTGTACTGTTTTAATTGTGTTTTTTGCATTATTTTAGCTTATTTCTTGGTTGGAATATTTCCATGGGTGTTTGGTGATATTGAACACCAGGTTACACTACACACTTGTACCTTTGCTGTGCATCGCAAATTTGCCTACGTATGATTTCCCTGTACCATCCATACGTATATTGGGATTTAATGCAATAAAACAAACTGTAAATCTCCCAACAAGTTAATGTACATGTCAATCGACTATCAATATTGACGTACAATAAGGAATAATATTAATTTTGGTATATTGAGTCTGAATTGTGTGCGATCATCATAGACAAAGATTAAATTACCACTGTGACATTGAGAACATTGTCTGGTGTAAGTCCCGGGGTCTTTCAATTGTCACATACGCCAAGCCGTTGGAGAACACTGAATAAGCTTCAGAAATAATATAAAATACGTTTTTCAGAGCTCGGAAATCTCTGAAATGAGAGACTGATATTTTGAGGGTACACCCCTCTACGATTCCTGGGGTGATACCTGACTTTCTCTTTAATGAGCCAATAATTAGTTTCAAAAAATAGACTCTAGTTATAAGACATATGAGCTAAGCTGGAGGACCCTTTCAGCACTCAACCTTTGACATCGTTAAGCTAATTTTAACCATACTGAAGACACAGCTCCTGAGTATCAGACCTTGATATACTCAAGTCACGTGAGTTTATACATATATAAAATTGACAGTAATGTGATGCTACTATCATATCTGGATGACTAGTAGTCATGGCAAATATGCTTATCAAATCAATACATATATCAGTATATGTCCAATTGTTATTTGTGTACGGAGTATTGTTCTCGTGAGAGTCTTTTCCCTCTTCCAAGTTCTTCAAACATTTTCTGAATGGCACAGCCAACTCCATCATGCAATAAATACGTACTGCATATTATCACTAGATTTTCTATACTACTCTCGTGGTAAATGACATCGTCGCCACTACTTTCTAACTTCAATGCTGAAGCACCTTCTTGCCTCACCGTTGCTTCCCAATTGTTTGACCATTTCCGAAGGATTTGGTCAGTAACGGTCATCTTCAGTACCGGAGCCTGTGCTTCCATGAATTGGCGCTCATCATTACCAATGCCCATGTAGTCAACCATTAGTCTGTGGTCCCGCCCTAGAACGTTCTTAACTTCAAGTAATTGTATTATTTCTTGTCAAGTACTCTGAATCAACCATTTCACATCGCATTTGTTGCCATTTTCTTTCAAGATGGTTTGGTCAAATCCAGGGACAAGTAGATCAGTAACGTTCTCTTCTCTTCCGTGAACGGCATCATAAACTGCGGATTTGTTATTATCGGCGTCACAAATTGCTTGCATCGAATAGTAGCCCACCTCTTTAAGGTCATGGTGGTTTCTTAGTGCCTCTGCGCTGAGAATGTATCGGTCCACCTCCACGCCAGGGCAGGCAGAATGAAGGACTTGTCGTGTATCATATGACACCAATTCCATAAGTTCATAACAATCACCAATTTGAGATTCGTTTTCACATCTCGTGACAATGTTCACGGCTCTTCCGTCAGCAGTTATCAGCACTAATCCTTCAACAACTTTACAAACCTTGATGCCATTTCTCCATATTCCACTCGGTGGACGACCTATTGCAGTGAAATGGCCGTGGAGTCGTGTCTGCAGTTGAGGAAAGAAGTTACGCGAAAACATATCAACGAAACTGTGGCATTCGTACCTCCGTCCGTAGTAAATCTGCATACGGGTATTCCTTCTCCACTGTTCACTCGGCATCACATCTGGCAACATACTAGATATTATGTATTGGTTGGCACGCCCGAATCCATAATCGCCTTCTTTCAACGGGAAAACGATTTCAAAAGCCACTAGTAACTCTATCAAGGGCATAGAGTTAGCTGCGCCACCAAGAACAATATCAATATCTTCCTTCGTGTAAATTTGCTTTTTCTCTAACTTGAAACGATACTGGTGAAATTGACCTGATGCTAGCATAGGTCCTAGAATTTTCCCACAAAACCATTGAGGTGACATAATGACGACTTCTTGGCAGGTATTATGTACATTTCCTTTCATATATAGTATCTAATGAAAGAGAAATTGCAAAATGTTAATATTCAAATTTAAAAAAATTGCGATTGTGTTTTATGTAAGTTTATGCCACTCATGGTCACCTGTACCATTATTCTCAATGTCCATTTACTGTTACACCTTTTGTTCGTAAGCAAATTAGTAAACCCTCACGGATACGTTGATATTCAAATTAGTAAACCTCAGTTTTATGAAGAGACCTAATTCGCATATTTACTAAAACCAGGATTACTTATTTGTATATCAATGTAATCGTGAAGGTTTACTAATTTGCATACGAATATAGATGAACACATCATTCATATGCAAAACATACACAAGTACATACATGTACAATTGCAATATGCAAATCTCATCACATTACAAAGAATGAAAATTGTTTGCACGGTTGTCGTGTTAAGCATTTGATCGCTATCATTCGAAAACACTTAATATAGTATTATCAAAGTTTTCTTAAATATTGTGTTTGAGTACTTTATATATTTGATACATGTTTTTTTTGCTTTAAACCACGTCTATAAATAGATATGTTGTTGCGAATGTGATAGAAAGCGCCACTTTGTTACGTATTTCTATAATGTTAACTTTCGACCAACTAGGGACATTCCCGCCTAGGGTTGAGTATCCTAACGAGCCTATAAATAGGACGCGCAACTATTTTAGCGCTAGTCTTTGCCGCGTTGTTGTGTTTAACGTTTGCCTACATATTACTTTATGGTAAGGTCTCCGGTATATCAGTGAATGTACTGTATTGACGTAATAAACTACTCTACGCGTTTATTACTTACGTATTCGTTTCTTGTGATTGATTTGTTTGCATAGCCTGGCATTTCTTACTTATTTTGGATATAACCCAGTCACGAATCATAACACCACACAAATGTTAAAAAACTCACGAGGCCTCGTAAGTTTCACAACATTCTAGCCACAACTGCAAGGTTTAAAATAATTGTAAACTTATCTATGTGAGTAAGCTTTTGACTTACCATTCCAAGATTGTGAAGATATTCTGTTGCCTTCATTAAGAATTCCTCTTTCAATATTGAACGTGTCTTCTCCCTTATATATTTCACATAGTCCTTCCAGTACATCACAGGAAATAAGGTGTTTTCCAAAGTCCATTTCCTTTTAATCACTAGAATGTGGCCACATATATTTGGCATGTGTTCGAGTTTCTGATTGAGAATACATTTTAATTTGTGATCAGTGGACAAATGAATAGAATAATTGATGTTAAAGCGGACACAGCGTGTTATTGTTTGCAAAGAAACGTCTACCCATGAGCCTCTACGTTTTTACCATGCGTCGTCGCTTAGGACTCAATTTCCGCGCGTGTGCAGCTGACGGCTTCTCCGCTTTAAGATAAACACGTGTTAAACAGCAATTTTGTACGTAGTTAATGAGATGAGAAATCATGGATGGGTAATGAGTTGGTGATGTGATGGTTATTTGGGCCGGTAGTGGGTTGGATAATGTTATGAATAGCGGGGAACTGGCTGAGTAGATGCAATGTTAGCGGGTAACTAGAGGAATAGGTAATGTTGCTGGTAGAGGAATGTTTAGTGGGATGAGTAGTGGGGTACGTAGTGGAGTTGACAGAGGAATGGTTAGTGGGACAGGTTGCGACTGGGTCGAGGGTTTGGTAGTGGGATGAGTGGTGTTTTCGGTTGAGGCAGGTGGAGTGGGATGGGTAGTGGAGTTAGTGCATATCGTTATTTGTGTATATGAATGTCTAGTAAACAATCTCAATATTCCACCATCCCAAAGATATTAAGACAAGTATGCCGCTCGAGTGTTATAAGTAGTCGGCATATACTGTGAAATACTTATTTTAGCTGGAATTAATGTTCGCTGAAAAGACTTTTTCGGTGTTTTGTATGTAATTTATTTTCACTGCTTTTTGACGAGCTGAGTGTAAAATATGGAAAAAAAGGTATATTCGCTGGATTTTATTTTCACTGAATCATTCCTTCGGCGAAAATCAATTCCAGGCGAAAATAAAGTATTTTACAGTTCATGCGAACAGTGACGTCATGGGCGATTATTTCTTGTATATTATATCGCCAACACTGTCTCCGTTTCAATAATAATAAGACAACTACTTGAAAGAACGACCAAATTGTATATTACATCTTCTTATTGTAAATACGCTATTTGTTTGGGAAATATATCCTCCACATGTTTCCATCTTCATATTTGCTTTCACTCTCCGAATATAAAGGAATAATTGCCGAATTTTCTGTGATATTTAACGTAGTGTCTCCCAACCATTGTTGCTCCAGTGAATTTAGTAAAATAAATTCCAATAATATTTTAACATGAAACAGCTCTTCTTACCTGTATCGTCTCCTTCCTTCTATCTTTTAAGATTTTCCGTAGTATTTTCATTCCATTGCTATCTGGATCATGACAGTCGAGTACCAGCACAACGTTGATAACATTCAGGAGCCCCTGGAATAGTTCCACTGACCTCGATTTCACCAGTTCCGCTACCCGTTGAGCTCCAGAAAACAAGTGTCGCATGTTTGTTATATTAAAGTATCTGAATCAAATCTACTAAGCGATGTGTGAAGACGATACCTATAACAAAATCTCACCTTCATGTTCATAGTTTCCTATCTTAACCCAATCTCCCCTGCTGGCCACTAAAATAATTGACAGATTAATCAATTCTCTATCTGAGGGTGGATTATTTGCCTTAAACATTTTGAACCAGTCGGTAACCTGGAAAATTAATATATTGTTATACATCATCACAAACCATTTATTTGTCACATTATTATGATTCATATAGCTTATGTCAATCACCATAATTGTGAATAATTGCGTTAATTTGTGACTGTGCTGCAGACTAAACACATCTGTTAATTTGTGACTGTGTGCTGCAGACTGCTACGACTGAACACATCTGTTAATTTGTGACTGTGTGTTGCAGACTGCTACGACTGAACACATCTGTTAATTTGTGACTGTGTGCTGCAGACTGCTGCGACTGAACACATCTGTTAATTTGTGACTGTGTGTTGCAGACTGCTACGACTGAACACATCTGTTAATTTGTGACTGTGTGCTGCAGACTGCTACGACTGAACACATCTGTTAATTTGTGAATGTGTGTTGCAGACTGCTACGACTGAACACATCTGTTAATTTGTGACTGTGTGCTGCAGACTGCTACGACTGAACACATCTGTTAACTTGTGACTGTGTGCTGCAGACTGCTACGACTGAACACATCTGTTAATTTGTGACTGTGTGCTGCAAACAGCTACGACTGAACACATCTGTTAATTTGTGACTGTGCGCTGCAGACTGCTACGACTGAACACATCTGCTAATTTGTGACTGTGTGCTGCAGACTGCAACGACTGAACACATCTGTTAATTTGTAACTGTGTGCTGTAGACTGCTACGACTGAAAACATCTGTTAATTTGTGACTGTGTGCTGCAGACTGCTACGACTGAACACATCTGTCAATTTGTGACTGAGTGCTGCAGACTGCTACGACTGAACACATCTGTTAATTTGTGACTGTGTGCTGCAGACTGCTACGACTGAACATATCTGTTAATTTGTGACTGTGTGCTGCAGACTGCTACGACTGAACACATCTGTTAATTTGTGACTGTGTGCTGCAGTCTGCTACGACTGAACACATCTGTTAATTTGTGACTGTGTGTTGCAGACTGCTACGACTGAACACATCTGTTAATTTGTGACTGTGTGTTGCAGACTGCTACGACTGAACACATCTGTTAATTTGTGACTGTGTGCTGCAGACTGCTACGACTGAACACATCTGTTAATTTGTGATTGTGTGTGGCAGACTGCGACGACTGAACACATCTGTTAATTTGTGACTGTGTGCTGCAGACTGCTACGACTGAACACATCTGTTAATTTGTGACTGTGTGTTGCAGACTGCTACGACTGAACACATCTGTTAATTTGTGACTGTGTGCTGCAGACGACTGCTACGACTGAACACATCTGTTAATTTGTGACTGTATGCTGTAAACTGCTACGACTGAACACATCTGTTAATTTGTGTCTGTGTGCTGCAGACTGCTACGACTGAACACATCTGTTAATTTGTGTCTGTGTGTTGCAGACTGCTACAACTGAACACATCTGTTAATTTGTGACTGTGTGTTGCAGACGACTGCTACGACTGAACACATCTGTTAATTTCTGACTGTGTTGCAGATTGCTACGACTGAACACATCTGTTAATTTGTGACTGTGTGTTGCAGACTGCTACGACTGAACACATCTGTTAATTTGTGACTGTGTGTTTCAGACTGCTACGACTGAACACATCTGTTAATTTGTGACTGTGTGCTGCAGACTGCTACGACTGAACACATCTGTTAATTTGTGACTGTGTGCTGCAAACAGCTACGACTGAAAACATCTGTTAATTTGTGACTGTGTGCTGCAGACTGCTACGACTGAACACATCTGTTAATTTGTGTCTGTGTGTTGCAGACTGCTACGACTGAACACATCTGTTAATTTATGACTGTGTGCTGCAGACGACTGCTACGACTGAACACATCTGTTAATTTGTGACTGAATGCAGTAAACTGCTACGACTGAACACATCTGTTAATTTGTGACTGTGTGCTGCAGACTGCTACGACTGAACACAACTGTTAACTTGTGACTGTGTGTTGCAGATTGCTACGACTGAACACATCTGTTAATTTTTGACTGTGTGCTGCAGACTGCTACGACTGAACACACTGTTAATTATGACTGTGTGTTGCAGACTGCTACGACTGAACACATCTGTTAATTTGTGACTGTGTGTTGCAGACTGCTACGACTGAACACATCTGTTAACTTGTGACTGTGTTGCAGATTGCTACGACTGAACACATCTGTTAATTTGTGACTGTGTGCTGCAGACTGCTGTGACTGAACACATCTGTTAATTTGTGACTGTGCTGTAGACTGCTGTAGACTTTCTATTTAGAAAAAAGCAAAATGGCAGCCTAACCACGTGACCAATCACAAAGAGCTTTGCACACTTTATTGAGCATTATACGTAGAAAAAGTAGTTTCAGATAACGTTCTCAAGGGGTGCTGAAAAAGTAGATTCTTGTTGTTCCTCATTTTTCGGGAAAAACATTGCAAAAAAAGTCACATAACCGCCAACGTTTTTATTCATGAAATATATAGCTCATATATAAACAATGCTGAAAGTTAGGTGCACCAGGGCGACAAAAAAATGACAGAGGAAGAAAAATAAAACATAAAAAATACAATAGGACCCAAACGGACGTTTGCATGTTTTTTTAGTAGATCTACAAATTGTAATGGCAAGACTGTCTGGCTGTAATACTAAGAGGAGCAACGAACACGTATATATTACTTAGTCGAAATAGTACGCACAAACTTTATGTATTGCAAAATGCGTCGATGGCGTAAATCACAAGGTGTATTAAAAATAATTTACAAAACGTGTTAATTATTACAAAATCGTGCAGTACAGGCCGAGACAAAGGCTGGAACGATGACCGGAAAGAGCTACTTTAACAACCTACTACTAACAGTGATTACAAAGCGAAGATGAATTTAAATTGGTTTTGCTTAGTATCTGTTTGAGTATGCTTAGCCTTCAGTTGTCTAAACAAGAACAGCTATAACAAGAACATTTTTTTTGGAATTATTGATTAACAAGACAGAGGAGACGCAAACCTAGGAGGCATTCAGAGGAGACGCATACCTGCTCCAGATTACTTAAATAATGATATTATGGCTGTGTAGTTATGCTTAGAAACATTGTTGTTGAGAACACATAGATAACACGTGTGTAAGTTTGAAAGCATTAACCAGTATATGCCGACCATGCATAAACACATATTGTGACCGCAGACTTTACCTTGAAAATGCAATCTTTAGGGACACAGGCATGTCAAGTTTGAAGGTGCCAAGTTTAGTTTCCCCTGTAGTTTGACCATGTCATGTAGTTTACACAAGTAACGTGTGTCAAATTTGAAGGTGCTAGCTATTTCTTCCTAGTAATTATATATGTGAACACACATAAGCACATCTATCATACCTGAAATACAACCAGGTTTTTGAGTCACGTGTGCCAAACCTTAAGATATTTGCTATTTTTGCCTTCGAGTTACATCGTGAACATAAATACATATACATGCTGATTCGCGCACTGGCACAGGTAATTTGTAATGGGCCTAAACCTTGCTACCGCATTGGTGACAGTCAGTAACTACCACAAACATGGAAGAATCAACACATCTCATTACATCCACAACTCCAGAAGTTTAAATATGTTGAATTTTTAAATATAAAAATATAATCAAGTCTGACTCGATATCAACTAAGTGCGGACACTGTCATGTACACTGACTCGACTCGCCATGACTGGACGTGTTGGGATGGGTTGCTCATGTCAACTTTGCCATGTGTGCCGTGGATAAATTACTGTCAATGTATCTTGTGGATATAGTTAATGGTGGCTGTCTGGAAATCATATTTACTAACCTGTTCTATTGCTGTTTCAACCATGTCATTTGGTCTGACTACACATTCTGTATGATTCGAATCAGCAATTTTATATAACACAATAAATGTTGCAGTCTCTGCATGAAGAAAGAAACTATGACCAAAAAAAAATTCAGACTGTCCGGCAAATTCCCAAATGCTAAGTTTACCAATTCCGGGGACATCTACGTCTTGAATGTCAATGCCGGATGTTGCAATGTGCTCATCTTGTCCAGGATGTGGGCCGCGATTAGGTTTTAAAGTCTACAATAAAACATTACAATGATGAAAAATGTGGTCATTGTATTTGACACAACACAGCACAACACAACACAACACAACACAACACAACACAACACAACACAACACAACACAACAGACAACAACACACCACACACACACACACACACACACACACACACACACACACACACACACACACACACCAATTCACGTCGTACCATCATTGACGACACACATTGGATTAACTTTTAAT